CTTGGGTCGGCGCTGGACCCCCCCCCTGCGCTCAACACGAGCCTGGGGAGGGGCACCAAAGGCGCTGGGGGGGCACAACCCCCACCCAGGGAAACTCACCAGCCTCCGGAGGACCCCACAGCTCCAGCCAGCACCTCCGCCCAGAGCCTCGGCCAGAGCGAAGCAGCAGAGGCAACTCAGAAACTCCCCGCAACGTGGGGGGGGGGCCAGGCAGGGAGCACCTGCCTGGAGCTCGTCCGATCCCCACTACACTGCCTGGTCGACGTACCCCGCAGGTATGGAACGGTGACAGGAAGGGGGAGGGAGCCACCCCAGGGGGGGAAGAGGGCCCAGCCCGACCCGGCCCGCCTGCCAGGAGCCCAGGGGGAGAAGAATACCGATCCCGCTGTACCCCAGGGCAGGACCAGAGCTCCGAGGCAAATCCAGCCGTGGCGACAAAGGGACCCCAGAACGAGCAGCGGTCCTGGGTACCGTTCCCCCCCAGAAGCGCCAGGCATAGGAGAGGGAGGGCGGGGGGGGGAGAGATCGGAAGGGGAGAGAAAGCCACCCCGGAGAGGAAGAGAGAGGGAGAGAGGACGGGGCGAAGAGGGAGGCCCATCCCGGCCCGATCCGACTCGACCACCCGGGCTTCCGGGCGGAAGGTGGGAGGGAGGGAGGGAGGAAGGGAGGGAGGGGGGGGGCGGGGAGGGAGGGAAGAAGGGCAGAGGCAGAGAGGAGGAAGAGAAAGAAACGGGGGGGAGACGGAGTGGGGGGCAAGAGAGACAAGAGCGGGCAGAGGGAGGGAGGGCGGAGAGGCCACGCGGCCTGCGGGGCCGGACCCTCTCTCAGGGCGTTCCCGCGGCGCAGCCTGCTCTGCCACTCTTGGGCGGCTCACCCCCTCGGCCCGAACCCGACCCGCCCGACCCAACCCCGCAACGAGGGAGCGGGGAGGGAGCTAACCATCTCGGCCCGGCCCGGCCCGACCCGGCCCTGCGGAGCGGGAGGGCGGGAGGGGGAGAAGGCAGGACGATGTTTGTTGCAACCGTGGCGCCGTCGATCTGCAGAAATTTCGGGGGTGCACCCGGGAGGGGGAGGAGAGGCTTGAGCTGGAGAAGAGGGGCATGGAGTGAGCATGGCTCCAGAGCGGCTATAGACAACACCTAAAGAATCACGACCACTTGCAAGAAGTGGTGGGCGGGTGGGGCAGATCCTCGCTCCGCAACCACTTCAAGAGACTGTCCTGCGCAGCCTCTGCCTGCCACTCCTTGGGCGCACGGGGCCGCGCCCCGGGAGCAAAGGGGGAGAGGAAGGAGGCGGGAGGGGAAAGGCTCAGCCGAGAAGCCCCACCGCGTGGCAGGGCTGCCTGCTCAGCCAGACGCCGGGGGCGGCGACCACTCTGCCGGTGGCAGGGGCGGCAGGCTCGGGGGCCTCGGCTGACCGCCGGCCGCCCGGGGAGCGGGCGGGCTGCCGTTGTTCCACGGCACGGTCCAGGCCTCGATCTGGGCCAAGATCTGGTCCGTGGCCCCCGCGCCGGCGGACACGTGCACGTGGCCCTGTTTGCGTGGCCATACGTGGGCTGCTCCTTTTTGGCAACCGAATTGCAGCAGCACCCCCTTGGGGTCGGAGGCCCTCTTCGGGACGTGGCACTTGCCAGTGGCCATAAGAGGGCTGCCCACCAGGTGGGTGTATGCCCAGTACAGCACAACCCGGTCTGAGGGGAGATTCCCGTCTGGGAGCCTCCCCCCACGGAGGAGGGAGGAGGGAGGGGGGGGGAGGGAGGAGGGAGGAGGAGGAAGAAGGGGGGAGGAGAGGGAGGAGGGAGGACGGAGTAGGGAGGGGGGGCGGGAGGGCAAGGGAGGGGAGGGAGGAGGGAGGAAGGGGGAGGAAGAGGAGGAGATGGAGAGGAAAGAGGAGGAAATGGATGATGAGATGATGATGAGGAGGAGGAGGAGGAATGGATGATGATGCTGATGATGATGATGATGATGATGATGATGATGATGATGATGATGATGATGATGATGATGATGATGATGATGATGATGATGATGAGGATGGGGATGAGGATGAGATGAGGATGAGGATGAGATGAGGATGAGGAGGAGAGGAGGAGGAGGAGGGGAGGAGGAGGAGGAGGGAAGGGGGAGGGGGAGGGGGAGGGGGGGGGGAGGGGGAAAGGGGCGGGGGGGGGGAGGGGGAGGGGGAGGAGAGGGGGAGGGAGAGGGAGTTGGGGAGGGGGAGGGGGAGGTGGCGGAGGAGGAGGAGGGAGGAGGCGGAGGAGGCGAGGAGGGAGGAGGGAGGAGAGAGGGGGAGGAGGGAGGAGGGAGGAGAGAGGAGAGAGGGAGGAGGAGGAGGAGGGTTCATAGGCCCTTACAGCGGTTCATTGCCATTGATGGAACTGCCTCGTTGGAAGACACCCTTTTGAAGACCCTGAAGCATGCCAAAGCATTGTTCTCGGGATTCCAACGCCACGGATCAACCTGAATGTTGCGTCTTGGCGATCCTCAATCATGCCAGGACGCCGTTCTTAGGACGTCAGCACAGAGAACCAATGTAAGTGTTGCACCCGCGTAATCCTGAATCCTTCCAACATACAATGTCTGGTACATTGATGCTGGGAGTCTGTGGCACTCTTGAAATGTGTGTAAACGAATGTGCGCGGCGCTAAGGCGAGACCCACAGTTTGAAAAGGACCCGCCCTCAATCCGTGAAACTCCTGCCAATGTTTAAAACGAATGCCCGCGGCGCTAAGGCGAGAGCCACATGTTGGAAACCACGCGCCCTCAATCCGCGAAGCTCTTGCATTTTATCAAAACGAATGTGCGCGGTGCTAAGGCGAGAGCTACATGTTGAAGACGGCCCGCCCTCAATCCGTGAAGGTCTTGCAATTTGTTGGGACGAATGTGCATGGCGCTAAGGCGAGGACCACAGTTTGAAAACAACCCGCCCTCAATCCGCCACACTCTTGCATTTGTTTAAAGGAAAGCGCGCCGCGCTAAGGCGAGAGCCACATGTTGAAAACGACCCGCCCTTCATCTGTGAATATGCTGCCAATGTTAGGCGTCAGAGTCGTAAATGATGAGGAAGTCTCAGTCGAAACGCCCGGCCCGCCCTAAACATTGCCTTGGGGGTGCGAAAGGGATAGGTTATTTGGAAGGAAAAGAATGGAGGAGGAGAAAGAGGAGGAGGAGGAGGAAGAGGGAGGCGGGAGTCGGGAGGCGGAAGGCGGGAGGCGGGAGGCAGGAGGGGAGGAGGAGGAAGGAGTAGGGGGAAGGAGGAGGAGGAGGAGGAGGAGGAGGAGGCGGGGAGGAGGGGGAGGGGGGGAGGGGGGAGGGGAGGAGGGGGGAGGAGGAGGGGGGGGGTGGGGGGGAGGGGGGGAGAAGAGGAGGCGGGAGGAGGGAGGAGAAGGAGAACGGAAGAGGAGAAAGTTGGAGGGAGAGGGAGAGAAGGAGGGAGAGGGAGGAGGGGGAGGAGAGTAGGAGGAGGAGGAAGAGGAGGACGAGGACGAGAGGGGGAGGGGAGGAAGAGGGGAGGAGGAGGAGGAGGAGGGGAGACGGAGGAGAAGGATGAGGAGGATGAGGAAGAGGAGGAGGAGGAGGAGGGGAGGACGAGTAGGACGGAGGAGGACAGATGAGGACAGAGGAGGAGGAGGAGGAGGAGGAGGAGAGGAGGAGGAGGAGGGAATGGGGAGGCGGAGGCGGAGGCGGCGGCGGAGGAGGAGGAATAGGATTAGGAGGAGAAGGAGGAGGAGGAGGAGGAGGAGGTGGAGGTGGCCGCGTTCGGAGGAGGAGGAGGAGGAGGAGGAGGAGGAGGACGGAGGAGGAGGACGGAGGAGAAGGACGGAGGAGGATGGAGGAGGACGGAGGAGGACGGAGGAGGACGGAGGAGGACGGAGGTGGACGGAGGTGGACGGAGATGGACGGAGGAGGAGGAGGAGGAGGAGGAGGAGGAGGTGGACGGAGGAGGGCGGATGAGGACGGAGGAGGACGGAGGAGGAAGGAGGTGGACGGGTGACGGCGGAGGAGGACGGAAGAGGAGGAGGAGGAGGAGGAGGAGGAGGAGAAGGAGGAGGAGGAGATGGCGAACAGCATCGATTACACCGACAGTTTGGGACGAGGGCGGCGACGAGGATGTGGACGAGGAGGGATGGTGGCGAGGAGGACGGGGAAAGATGAGGAGGACCAACGTGGAGAACGAGGCGATTCGCCAGGAGAAAGAGGAGTCGAGGGAGAGGGCGAGGAGGGGAGCAGGAGAAAGAGAAGGCGGATGGGGAGGATCTGAAGCATGATAAGGAGGAGGACGAGGAGAACGATGAGAAGGATGAGGGGACCGCGCACGAGGGGAGGGCGAGGAGGAGGAGGAAGATGAGGAGGAGGACCAGTGCAAACCCATGACTCATCAACGCTATTGCAAAAGCCCTTCCTCCAAGGTCCCTCTTTTGTAGGCCCCTACAAGGATTCATCTTGACTGAGGGAAGGGCCTCGTTGGAAGACAGCCGTTTAAACATCTAGAACTGTGCCAGAACGAATCATCGTGAAGGTTGCGTCTTGATGATCCTGAATCTCACACTTCAACACCGCGAGTCAGCGTAACTGCTGCGCCTTGACAGTCCGACATCGTGACAAACACTTTGCGAAACTCATGCAACTTTTTAGAACGAATGCGCGCGGCGCCGAAGCGAGGCCCACATTTTGAAAGTTGCCCGCCCTCTATCCGTGAAACTCCTGCAAATTCTCAGCTTGAAGAACAAAACTGATGAGGAAGTCTCAGGCGAAACGCCCAGCCCGCCCTACCGACACGCCTCGGGGTGCGACAGGGAAGAGCGATTTATAAGGAAGAGGAATGGAGGACCAGGAGGAGGATCCCCAAGGGCTCGACGACCTGTCGCCAATCGACTTGCGGGGACCAAGCCAGATAAGTGAAGGTACGTGCCGATCCATCGAGGTAGATCTGGGTAGATCGGAGCACATCCTGGCACGTCCAGGTAAGCCCAAAGGACATCCAGAGGAAAGTTGGAGCAACTCGTGGCCGCTCCAGTGCGAGTTGGGGGACGGCAGACGTCGTCGAGCCCTCCACGAGGGGAGAAGACCGCAGCCGACCTGTACCCTGGCGCCGGCTCGTGGCCGGCGCCAGCGCCGGCGGGGTGCGCCGCAGGGGCACAGCCCTGGCCGCCCAGGCTTGCCTGTAGCAGTAGAGGGGCCGCCAGGCCGCCGCCCCGCCTCGCGGGAGGGGGGGAGCCGACACGGGCCTCCGACGTCCTGAAACGGCGGCGACGACGACGACGACAACAAGGACGACGAGGATGAGGAGGACGAGGAGGACGAGGAGGAGGGCGAGTAGGAGGAGGAAGGGGGCATGTACGAAGGGGGCCCCGATGGCGCCCGCCGCTGGCGTCGTGTGTGGAGGGGCTTCGGTGGGTATACGCACGCGCTGGCGCCAACACGTGCTCTGAGGATCCTCTGGGGTCGGGGCCTTTGGACCACCGTGGCTCTTTTTCGGACCCACCCGGAGCGATGCCGTGGGCTCCTGCCCCAAGGTTCCTCCCTGAGCCCTCCTCGGCGTCTGCGCCCATTCGGCCGCCGCGTGGGCAGCCGACTGGGCTCAATGCCCAGCGGGCTGTGGGAACTCTGCGCGTCCAGCAGCGGGCTGGCCTCGCTCCCAGGTCCGTTGGGCTAGCCGAGGTGGCCCAGACGCCGACTGGGCGCAGGAGACAGCCCCAGGGCGGAGGCCTCCGGGGGCCTCCAGGACGGTCGCCTGCGGACAGGACTCCGGCTGGCTCGGCCTGGGGTCCAGGCCTCGACGGGCATCGGCCCCATCGGCTGGGCTGGGAGGCCGCTCTTCCCCGCGGGCGCGGAGCTGGGCCCAGAGCGGTCCCGTATGGGCGCCAGGTTTGGTCGGAGTCTGCTCCGGGCGTCCGTGGCCCAAGGTGTCCCCCGCGCTTCGTCCTGCGCTGCAGTCCCTGGGGCCTCGGGGCCTCGTGGGGGCTGCCCTGGTCGGTGCGAGCGAGACTGCTACGGAAGCACTGGGCCCCAGGGCACCAAGTCCAGCAGTACCAGTCAACGCGCCTAGTAAGGACGCGCGCCTTCGCCTAGGGTGCCCTTGTGTCCTTGCCTCTGCGGCCCGTCCGTTGCCGTTCTCACTGGTCGCCCGCCGCCCAAAGAGTCCCCATCTCGGCCTCCCAGGGATCCTGCGCCCTTACCGCCCGCCCTGGATACACGCCCTGGCTGTAGCCCTTGCCCGTGTGGAACAGGACTCGCTGTCCGTGCCGCCGGGGCCCAACCGCGGCCGCTGTCGGTGATGGAGTCGCGCCCTCTTCTCCTCAATGCCGGGGTCCAGTGCCTTGATCAAGCGCTTCGACGAAACTACCTCGTGGTGGTTGAGCCTGGTGCTGCCCTCGCCAAATTCTGCTGCCGCTCGACTGGTGACGAGCGTCCTCGCGGCCTGCCGCGCCGCCGGGCAGCCAGGGCGCGGAAGTCGGGGCCGCTCTCGGCCTGGAAGGGGCCCGCGGTGCCTCGGGCCCCGCCCTGGCGGCTCCGCTCGCCGTCGCCCGCGCACCCGGGCCCTTCTGGCGGCAGGCAGGGGCGTCGCTCCTTCCCTGTTCCCGGAGGGACGGCGCTGCAGAAGAGCTGCTCAGCGTCGCGGCAAAAATCGCGGCTGGAGCCTGGGTCCCCATCTTGCTGCGCCACTTGCCGAGCCGGCCGGATCTGTGAGGGCCCCAGGGCCCGGAGTTGAGCGCAAGCGCCCGTTGTGAAGAAATGGCAACGCCAGGATCCCGGAGTTATGTGGCGCTCCTTCTTCCAGCAGCCCAGCCGACTGTAGGCCGGAGGCTCGGGTCAGTTCCTCTCCCTCCTCGCCCTCCGGCAATATGCTCGTAGTGTTGCCTATGCGGCGGGCTCGCGCCGCGTCGTCGCGGCGGCGGCCCCCACGCTGCGGGGCGCCTCGAGGTGGAGCGCCCTCGGCGGCCAAAGGTATTCGGCGGCTGCAGCGGCGCGGATCGTCCGGCATGCCGGACGATCCGCGCCGCTCCAAAGCCTCGGGCGGGTGGTAATCGGCTGGGGCCAGGACGAGGATAAATCCGTTCCAGAGCGTTCCGGAACGCTCTCAGAGCGTTCCAGAACGCTCTGAGAGGGCCGCGGCGCCCGAGACACCCTCCAGGGCCGCCGGATCTCAGAGATTCTCGATTCCCGGATTTGTCTTCGTCTTGGCTTCGTCTTAGGTAATGGGGGTGATCCAAAATGCAGGGCTCCAACGGGGGCACTAAAGGGCCCCTTGAGCTTGTTTCTTTCTCCGAGCCGATGACGGCCGTCAACTATGGGGGGGGGGGGGGGAAGGGGCCGATGACGTCACGTTTCGCGCCAGCGGCGTCTGGGAATGCCTAGGAACGATCGAGGACGGGTACCAGAGCATGTAGGTGGAGATGTGCACCACAGCGCCTGTGACCACATCAGCCGTGAGCAACACAGCACCAGTGTACACCACAGTGCCTGCGGGCAGCACAGCGCCTGTGTACACCACGGCGCCTGTGTGAACCAGAGCAACCGTGCGCTGCAAAAGAGCACCATTGTTGTATAGATGAAATTTTAGAAGGAATCCTTATGACAAAACGTAGCGCCTGTGGATCGCACAGAAAACAATTTATAGAGGGTCAGGAACCCTTTTGGAAAAAGGAGCGCCGCCGGAATCGACGAGTCCTCCCGAGTCCTCCCGCATCTTCCTAACTCCTCCCATCTGCGTCCATACGACTCCCGCAGAAGTGGCCGTCCGAGCCAAGTGGACTGATTCAATCGACCGTTTTGCGGTGCACACTGAGATGTGCACGTGCGCTGTAGCGCCGACCCGCACGACGGGGGGAAGGGTGAGGGAGGAGGAGGAGGAAGAGGAGGAGGAGGCGGAGGTGGGGGAGGCGGAGGAGGAGGAGGAGGAGGAGGAGGAGCAGGAGGAAGAGGAGGAGGAGCAGAGAAGCAGAGCAGCAGAGAAGCAGAGGAGCAGAGGAGCAGAGGAGCAGAGGAAGAGAGTAGCAGAGGAGCATAGGAGCAAAGGACCAGAGAAGGAGGAGGAGAAGGAGGAGGGAAAAACATTGCTTTGTAGTCTTAGTACTTCCCTGGCGTGGTGTGTAGGTGGCCGCAGCCTGAGCAGATGCTCACTTACATGCTCCTTCTACCTGTCCTGTGCACGCAGGCGCTGGTGCACACCAGCGTTGCGTTGCACGCGGATGCTGTGGTGTACACATGCGCTGTGGTGTGCACCGGCGTTGCGGTGCACGCAAGCATTGTGGTGTACACTGGCGCTGCGTTGCACATGGTTGCTGCGGTGTACACGTTCGCTATGGTGTGCACAGGCGCTGTGGTGCACGCAAGCACTGTGGCGTATACAGGCGCTGTGGTGCACACCTACATGCTGCTCCTATTTGGCCCCGGTCATCCTTAGGCATTCCCGGACGCCGCCGGCGCGGAACGTGACGTCATCTGGGACGGGGGGGAGGCGCGGCCGATGACGGATGTTATCCCGGAAAACAAAAATGATTAGCTCTTTTGGGGCCCTTCTCTTCACCCCCGAGTCGGGCCACTTCCCATTACCACCCGCCAGAAAAGCCGCGATTTTAGGTTCGGGACGATCGAGCTAGGGGAAAAAAACGTTACATAAGCATAGAACTCGCAGGTCCGCGGACCTCTGAGTCTTTCCCTTTACGTAACTGTTTGTTTCCCTAGGAATGGGCACGGCAGGACTGACTGGGCACAAAGTCCACCAGCAGTCGTTTCTCATTCTGAACAGGGTTCGCTGCCGGCGATGCCGCGGTCGCTCTCCATTTGAGGCAGGAGGCCGCTTGCCCAACAGCGGCAGCGTCGGTGTTGGACAACACTTGTTGTCGGGCATCGTGCCCGTCTTTTCCGTATCCATCTCGTGCCTCCAAATCGGTCACCCGCGGGGGCGCGAAGATAATCGAGTTTCGCGCGTCGTGGTCTGGGCCAGAGCCCTTCGCCAGGGCCACCGCGCGGGCACGCGTGGGGCGCGAAGCGAACCGCGCGCCGCGCCCCGTGGGGCGCGGTGCGCGCAGTTGGGCCGCCCAGCGACCCTCCGAGGAGGGCTGCCTCGCGGGCTCCTCCCCGGACGTGGCGGCGTTCGGACTCTTTCTCCGCACGCGGCCCCCGGAAGTCCCGACCCCTTCCCCCGGCACCAGCTTTTCATCCCGAGTCGTCTTTAGATCGCCCCCGGGGCCCGGCGAGGGCCCCTATGCGGAGGCCAAAAACTGCCGAAAGCCTTCCCGCCCTGATTTTTTGTTCTCCGGACGCGAGCCTGCCTGGGTCTGAGCCATGGGCCGAAGGATCGGCGCCGCGTCAGAAGCTCGGCGCCGGCGCCCCCGCGACGTTGGGCCCGCCGTGGCCGCGGGGCCGCCGCCTTCCGCCCCCTCGCCGCGGGGCACGGGGCGGCGCGCGCCACGGCGCTGCCGGAGTGTACATAGGCGACTCGGTGGTGCGACCGCCGCCGGAGCGCGCCGAGTTCGGGTGATGCCAACTGTCGCAGGCCCGGAGGTTGGCACAGCAACACCAAGATCGGCGGTGTGCCTCCACGAGGGAAGACTCTTCCGATCTCGGGGATGGTGGTAATATTTGGGCTTCCGAGGTGGCCGAAGCAATTCACCACCAGCACCGAAATCTGGTATCATCTTCCCCCTTTAGAGGCAACCCCCTGGGTTGTGTGTTGGTGTTGGTGCCCATTTCCAGGCCTCCAAAGCTGCACGCGTCCATCGGTCAGGGGAGGAGGAGGGGCCACTCCGGCCCCGGTCAAGCTGGCGCTCCCCGGAGTGCCCCCGTCCCGTTCAATGCACTGTCAGGGCACGCTTCTGGTACGAGGAGGCCTGTGCCGCAGGGGTGCTCGTTCTGCAGCGGGTCTTCCGCCGACTGAAATGCGAGAGTCAAGCAAATACAGTCGACCCGTACAGTTAGGCAACCTTCCCAAGGGTACCCTTGCATCCTTGCCTCTTCGGCCCATCCTTGGCCACTCTCGCTGGCCGCGCCCCGCTCGAAGAGCCTCGAAGTGGGCGCCCAAGGCCCTTGCATCCTCATCGCGCATCCTTATGATACGGGCCGACTCTACGTGGGAGGTACAGTAGGTACAGTAGGTACGTAGGATGGGTGCGGTCGGAGCGAGATATGAGATCGAGGTCGGTTCGGGGAGGGTTCCCTCATGTTCTTCGTGTTTGTTGGATGCTCCTGTGCATCCTGGTGGAGGATAAGTACCCTCGAATGCTCGTCAGTCTTGTCCGGCGGAGGGCCTCATGCTCTTGAGGGATTCATTCCTGAAGCATGTGCATACAGTGCCGTTATTTAATACATGCTCCGCGTGCGGATCATGTATAAAAAATGCAGGGATTTAGTATTGAAAACGATGAGTTCATGCATACATTCATTCATAAATCCATCATGTACTAAACATCCGATACTCTTAAAAATCCTATGTATCAGAAATTGCCCCCTAATCTCTCGGAGAGGCCTGCGCAGCTTTGTTGGATCTCGGTCCCGGGCGGCGCGCCCCTCCATGTGCCATAGGGGGGGCGGCGCCGCTCAAGCCGCCCCCCGCGCGCGGGGAGCGCGCCGGGGTTTCGCGGGGGCTGTGGGGAAAGGAGGTGGGCCCTCCGCCGGCCCCAAGAATCTGCACCACCACCACCTCCATTCCATCTCCACCTCCATTCCCTCCTCCCTCCTCCATTCCCTCCTCCCTCCTCCCTCCTCCATTCCCTCCTCCCTCCTCCCTCCTCCCTCCTCCATTCCCTTCTCCATTCCCTGCACCACCACCACCTCCATTCCCCCCTCCCTCCTCCAGCCTCGTCTCCCGCTCCTCTTTCCTGGGAGAGGGGGAGGGGACGAGGGAGGTGGTGGTGGTGGTGGTGCATACCCTTGGGCCCTCTGCCGGCCTTAGCAATCCGCGCGGGCCTCCGAGGGGTTGTGCTCACAGCAGGTCGCGTCGTGTCGACTGGCGGCGACCCTGCCGCTGGCGTTCAACGTTGATCGATAGACCATCACCACCATAGGTAGGACGGTGGAGAAGGAGCTCCTCCTCCTCCTCCTCTCCTCCTCCTCCTCCTCCTCCTCCTCCTCCCTCCCCCTCCTCCCCCTCCTCCCCCCCCCCTCCTCCCCCTCCTCTCTCTCCTCCTCCTCCCTCCCCTCCTCCTCCTCCTCCTCCTCTTCTCCGTCTTCTCCTCGTCCTTCTCCGCCTTGTTCTCCTCCTCCTCCTCCTCCTCCTCCTCCTCCTCCTCCTCCTCCTACTTATGGTAGTGGTGGTGGAAAATCGGCCCTTCATTGAACGCTGCCGGCGACCGAGAATCGATCGGTGTTGAACGATCTGACTTTCCAGAGACGGCCGATCGTTCCAGGTTGGGCGATCCCCGCGGTGTCAGGAACCAACGCCGAAGTCGGCACGAAACGAGCCTGCCGCAGAAGGTGGCTGCTCGGTCCTCCAGTCCAGGTTGTTGTTTTTGGTGTTCTCTGTCCGGCTGCCTCCTGCAGTACCGCAAACGTGCTAGCGCAGCATCCTGGGTGGCGATTAGTTATTCGAGGGGGCATGGGAGGCCGTCACGTGTGACGTGACACCTCAGGCCTCTCGAAGACTTTGGGGGCGTGTTGGGGGCCTCTAGGGGCCTCTCGGCAGCGTCTGGGGGGCGCCTCGAAGGCTCTTGGGAATTCCTTGGGCCGTCTGAGGGAGGGCGCTCTTGGGCCGTCTGGGCGCTTTCGGAGTCCGTCTTGGGGGCTCCATGGGGGCCGTCTGAGGGCCCCCTTAGGCCGACTTGGGGTCCTCGTCGACCGCTCGTGGGCCATCTCTGAACCCTCTCGGGCCGTCTTGGAGCCCTCCAGAGGCCCTCTTGGGCCGTCCATCTCTGAGCTCACGGAAGCCCCAAAGGTAAGGCTATGAGGATCAGGGGTGGACAGAACCCCCACCCGGACACGCCGATTGGTGAGTTGTCCGTTTTCGGTTCTCGAGAGGGCGCCGCGGCCGTCATTCTCCAGGTTTGCGCCCGCCACGTTTGGGCACCAGGTCGTTTTCACGAAGCCACGTTTTACTAAAGGGGGTTCTGTCCATCTCCGAGAGGAGCACGCTCAGGAGGGGACGAAACACACAGACACAATTAATCGACGATTCCCAGGAAAATCTGTAAAAATATGAGAAGTGGGGGGAAGACAAAAACCCGGAAAATATGTGAAGATATGGGGAATCCTGGGATTTGTGTGTGTATTCATGTGTGTGTCCCTGGGCCCCTTCAGCTTGGGGGCCCTTCGCCGATGACGGAAACCCTGACAGACAGCACTCGGTATTCTGCCGCGCCGCCACGTGCCACGGGGCCCGGAGGCGGGCAACAATAAGATACACCGGTAGCTTTCGGTCCCAGTTTCCCCTCCTCCTCCTCCTCCTCCTCCTCCTCCTCCTCCTCCTCCTGATCCTCCTCCTCCTCCTGCTCCTCCTCCTCCTCCTGCTCCTGCTCCTCCTCCTCCTCTTTTTTCTCTTGCGCAGGCTGCTAAGCGCTCCAGGTCCTCCTGCTCTTCCTCCTCCTCCTCCTCCTCCTCCTCCTCCTCCTCCTCCAATTCAGCTTGCCTAAGGGATTCTTACTTGGTTAACGGTTGGTGTCTCGGGGGGGGCTATCTTGCCCGTTCCTCGCAGGTGTTCCCCAGGTTCCCCGGGTGCCTCATGCCAAGCGATGCCAAGCATTGCCCCCATGCTCTAGGAAGCTTTCCCCTACTCGGCGTCGCGCCAGGTCCTTTTTTTTGCTCAGCAGCTGCGCCTCGTCGTGAGCCTTCCGGAACGCCGTGCTCGTCCCGAGGAGGCGCCCGAGGCCAGAACCGTGCACCAGAGACCAGCCGCGTGAGGCCTCTGCACCTGTTCTGGCCGGGCCTCTAGACGTTGTCGTTCGTTGTTTTCGTGTTGTTGTTCGTTTTGCTCTGCCTCTTTTCCTGCACCCCCCTGCCAGCACGAGAAGCAAAACACGGGCGAAGTCCAGCAAAACGACATTCAGGTCCAGCCCCGAGCTCAACCAGAGAGCCGGCCTGACGTCCCCGCCGCCGCCGACCAGTCTTGGGCCCCGGACCCGCCTGCACGCCCGCCTGGCCCGGCCGGGGAGGGGCGCGTCCGCCGGCCCGGGGAGGGGCGCGTCCGCCGGCCCGGGCCCGGCATCGGCTCGGCCAGGACCGACGCGCGTGCACAGTTGGCGTCCCCCTGTTCTGCGAGTGGCAGGCATGCTTGGGGTCGCCTGCGAGCACTCGGAGCAAGCGCACATGCCAGGTCGGGCAAAAGAGGGGGGGGGCAGAGGAGGAAAGGGTGCCGCTGCCGCTGCCCTTCCCTCGTGTTCGCCTCCTCGGGCCTCCTGGGAGGCCCTCGTCGCCGCCGCTGGGTTCGCCTCGAACTCCTGGCCAGAACGCAACCCTGGAGAGGCCTCGGGAGTAGCGGCATTGGTGCCTTTTGGTTTCCCCAAGGGGATTTTGTGAAGGGGAGGGGGTCACGCATCACCGAGCGCGTTCCACTACTCGCAAAGTGCCTACTCGCAGACTTCCGAACAAAAACACATGTCTTCCTCTACGTGATGGATCGTAAATGCCCCGGGGCGCGGATCCAGGCCACTTGCGAGTATACGCAGTTACTCTGCGAGTCCTGGAACGCGCTCGTCCCACGAAGCCTGCTGCACGCAGCTGCTTTCGGCCCCGCCGTTGGGCCGCCCCTGGAGCGCATCTGGAGGCGCTCCCCAGGGGGGCGCTCACATGGCGCCCCGAACCGGCCCCCGGGAGACGTGCGCAGGGCGCCCCAGGAGCGCTGCCAGGGTGGCGCCCGCGGCGAACGCTCCCAGTGCGGTCCAGAGCTGCCAGGGAGCGCTCACAGAGAGCGCCCGCAGGGCGCCCTCGGCGCCCCCCGGGGCGCCCTCAGAGCGCCCCCGCTGCGCTCCAGGGAGGGATCCCCGGCGCCGTGGGCCGCAAGGGCCGCCTTCGGGCCGCGGCGGGAGCCGTGGCGCGCGGGTGCCCCGCCTGCGCCGCTGCGGCGACGGCGACCCCTCGGGAGGCGCCCCCCCCGGGAGGCGCCGGCCAAGCCAGCCGCGTGGGCCGCTTCGGCCACCCGCCCCCGCTCTGGGACTCCCAGGTGGGGCCGGGGGATCGCGCCGACCTCGGCGATGCCTCGGCGATGCCTCGGCGATGCCTCGGCGATGCCTCGGCGACGTCGGCGATGCGGCTCGATGCGGAGCCCGATTTCCGACGGCGGCGATGTGTCGCGCCGACCCCAGCTACTCGGACCCAATGCGGGAGGCCTGTACCCAGGCTACCCCCCCCCCTCTCGCTCGACCCGAGCCTCCGATTCGCGTCTCTGCGAGGGCCTCTCCGGGGGTCTGCGAGAGGTGCCCCTCGCCAGAGGTTTTCTGCGGGCCGCGCTCGGGGCGGCCCGGTTTTTCGCCCGCCGCCGATGGAGTCCGCGGCTGCCCGGCACTGGGGGCGCTGCCGAGGCGACGCGAGGGTCCGCGCGCGCGCACGCGGCTTCCGTGCGGTGTGCGCAACGCCGCCCGGCACGGAGGCGTCAGGCCGGAGTAGCAGAGGGGGGCCTCCCAGATGGGGCCGGAGCAGATGTCAGGGGGACGAACAACGACATGAACGCTTATGTTTAGAAGCATGAAATGTTTATAAACATTTTTATGTTTATAAGTATAAAATGTTTATGCTCATAAACGTAGACATAAACGTTTATGTTCATAAATAAACAGGGCGAACATCTTATGTTTATGAATATAATATGTCGGAGGTCCGCGCGGATTCCTCGGATCGGATCGGCGCCGGGGCGCCCTGGCGGCGCCGCCGGCGCCGCCCCTTGGCGCGCTCCGCGCGCCAGGGAGGAGGGGGGTCCAGCGCCGATCCGAGGAATCCGCGTGGACCTCCGAGTTTAATTTTTCCAGTAGGAGGTCGACTACAGAATTGATTTACCCACAAATGGATTTCCCATCGAATCTACGACAAATGCGTAGACTAGTCGTTGCTGATTCGTAAATTCGACGGGAAGCTCAATTTTTGGGTAAAGCAATTCTGTAGTCGATCCTCTGAACCCTCTGACACATCGTGCCCCCCCCAAAAAAAACAGTGAGGGAGGGGGAGGGTTCCCCTCCCCGAAGGGAAGAGGGGTCGTGGAAGACGAAATAGACCCTCGATAGACCACCTGTCGCGCAGAGGGCTGGTGGGATTCTGTAGTCGATCCTCTATTCGAATGTGATGTCACTGTTTGTTCGTTCCCTAGACCCTAGATGTCGGAGGAGGGCCAGACGAGGCCCAACACCAACACCACCATCGGCGGTGTGCCTCCACCGATGGGAGATGATCAGGTAGAGGGAAACAATTACCGAACACTCCCCCTCCCCCCCAATCTCAAAGTTGGCACGCGCGGGGGAGACTGCGGTCGAGGTGCAGCTCATTAGACCCACCGACAACTTTGAACATTGGGGCGAGGGGGAGGCGTTCAGAGTTGAATGTGGCACGAGTGTTCGCTCTTTTTTCCTCCGAGGCTCGTCGCGATCTCAGTGATAGTGGTGATGTTTGGACTCCCTTCGGTGGCTGAAAGATTGCCACCGGCACGGGAGCCCAGGATATCAGCTTCCCCTGGTGGGGGCAGCCCCCTGTGTTGGTGTCGGTGCCGACTTTTCTAGGGAACCAAACAATGACATAAACACAAAAATTCTGAGGTCCGCGCGGATTTCTCGGATCCGCGCTGGGGCCCCCTGGCGGCGCCTCCGGCGCCGCCCCTGGCGCGCTCCGCGCGCCAGGGAGGGGGGCCCGGCGCGGATCCAAGAACTCCGCGCGGACCTCCGAGTTTTTGTGCTTGTGCCACTTTTCGTTCCCCTCTTTTCCCTGCCTCCCCTCCTGGGCCTCCCGTGCTCCCCTCGCCGCCGTGGCCCGCGGCCGCCTCCGCCCCGCAGCGCGGGTCGGGGCCGGGCCACGGCAGGGGCCCTTGGGTGCCGCTCTGCGAGCGGCCTCGGGCCCGGCGGCGGCGGGCCCGCCCGCCTCCGGAGGTGGGGCCGGGGGGGTCGGCCGCCAGGGCTGGTGCATGGGCGAGGTCCAGGGGGGCACATGCGAACCCTACCCCTAGCGCCCACGATTTCTCTGAGGGGGAGCTCCCGAGCGAAGTGAGCCCCACCCTCCCCCGCAGAAATCGTGGGGGGTATGGGGTAGGGTTCGCATGTGCCGCCCTGGACGTGGCAAGACTTAGAGCCTGTCCTTCTCCAGCCCGCCGTCGCCGAGGCATCGGCGGTGAGGCCCGATTCTCCGACCCCACTTGCAGGGCCCATTTCGATTCCGATCTGGTCCGATTCGGTTTCGATGGCCTCCAAGTCGATTCGGCTCCGGATTCCGATCTCTCAACGCATGCCTATGAGCCTGCCGATTTCCGCCGATTCGACTTCTCCCGACTCAGCTGCCCATTTCCGCCGATCCGACTCATTTCGATCGCTGGTCCGACTTATCGATTCGATTCTGGGCTCTCTTGCGTTTGCTCCGCCCCCATCAGGAGCCCTCCAGTTGGGTCTTCGGAACTGTGCGCGACAGAGCGGCATGCACGGAGTGCAGGTTGCAGCGTGACTCCGGCGTCAATTCGACTGCGACCCGTGGCTGCACTCGGGAATGTTTCAGAGTGCAGTGTAGGTATCCACGCTGCCTTCTGTGTACTCCTCCTGGTGCCTCGCCTCCTGCTTGCTCTCCTTCCTCACTCCTTCGCCCTCCCTGCTTCTCCTCCCTTGACCCTCCTCCCGCCTCGCTCCTCCTCTGTAGGCATCAGGCCCATGGGCTCGATCCTGGTGTGACACAGCGGTGGTGCATGTGCGTGTGTGCGTGTGCGTGAGTGTGTGTGTGTGTGTGTGCGCGCGCGTGGGTGTGTGTGTGTGTGTGTGTGTGTGTGCCCAGCCGCCGCGCTCACTGCCGCGCTGTCTTCGCCTCGGCGCTGCGCGAGAGGCTGCCAAAAGTAGTGTCTGTGTACTCCTCCTCCTCCTCCTCCTCCTCCTCCTCCTCCTCCTCCTCCTCCTCCTCCTCCTCCTCCTGCTCCTGCTCCTCCTCCCCCTCCCCCTCCTCCTGCTCCTGCTCCTCCTCCTGCTCCCCCCGTCCTTCCTCCCTTCCTCCTCCTCTGTTGGAGGTGAGGGGGAGCGAAGAGAAAGTCCAGCGAGCACTAAGCCTGGCAACGTGGAATGGGCAGGGCACGCCCCCGCCCCGCATCCCCCTGTTTTTGTTTTGGTTCCCCCCCGCGCCTCCCTCGTCCCTGCTCGCTCGGTCTTCCTGGCATCTCCTCGGTGCTGAGCAGTCGTTCGAGGTCCTCTTCAAGGCCCCGGGCTGCAGGCAGGGAGGCCGACCTCTCCGATCCTGGGCGCGGGGGCCCCCCTGGCCAGGATGGGTGCAGTGTACCAGCTTGAAGCACATCCTTTTCCCTGTAAGTGGCATCACCTGGGCTCGAGGAGCACATCCTTAGGACTGTCACCGCATTGAGCTTGCCGATCTCAGGGACAGAATCAGTTTGAGGCTGCTTACGCAAGGCGCCAGGGTGCAAACCTGGCGTCGTCGTGTTGACTGGGGGCGAACCCGCCGCCGGCATTCAAAGTTGAACGCTGCTGGCGACCCAGAATCGGCCCATCTTTGAACAACCTGACGTTTCGGAAACGGCCGATCGTGCAAGGTTGAACATCCCGGCGGTGTCGGGAACCAACGCCGCAGTCGGTACAACACGGACCTGCTGGAGCTTCTCCTCTACCTCGTGTTCCACCTCTCGGGGAACAAATAATGACATACGCATAAAAGCTCGGAGGTCCGCGCGGACTTCTCGGATCGGCGCTAGAGCCCCCTGGTGCCGCCCTTGGCGCGCTCCGCGTGCTAGGGAGGGGGGCCCACCGCCAATCCTATAAATCCGAGCGGACCTCCGAGCTGTTATGTTGATGTCATTGTTTGTTCTCCAGGTTCTCCCCCTCGTGTTCCACCTCCCCTTGTCGAACACTGCCCCCGCGGCATCTAGAGCGAGGGCGCACTTGCTCAGGGGCGCCCCCTGCGGAGACGGCGCGGGCTGCTGATCTTGGCGGCCCGCCGCTCGAGGAGGAACAGTGACAGCTTCGTCCTCTCTGCGTCCCTCCTCTCACCGGCTCATCCCTCCTCTCACCTGCTCTTTTCCTCCTCCTCGGAAAAAGAAGGACTGAAGCTCGCTGAGGGGCAGCGACCGCGATGTGTGCTTCTGGGGCGACGGAAGGGGGGGTACAGTCGGGGCGCTGAAGAAGGAACCCT